CGGCGCGCCCCGCCCCCGCCGGCCCGCGCAGGTGCCCCGCAGACCCGCCTGCCTTCGAGTGAGATGGCGGTGGAGCTGGAGGGAGACCACCTGAACCTGGACCTGGACCTCGACGTCGGCGCCTTCCTGAGAAGTTCCTCTGAGTTCCGTAGATCCTTCATAGACGGAAGTGGCGCGGCACGTCCCCTTCCAACTGAGCATGGGTGGCCTAGAAGCTCCAGGACCCTGGGGGAGGAAGATGGAGTGGAAGAGAGACTTTTAGCTCCTTCCCCGCCCCCTTCCCTTCCTTCCTTTGCTTGAGTTTTTGGATGCTTTGCGAGGCAGGGGTTTATCAGTCCCAGCTTGGCAGGGTAGGAAATCCCCTCTGAAGGCGAAGTGTATCTTCTAAATCTAGTCAGGAAGCAGGACCCAAACGAGACACTCTCCTTAGAATCCAGAGAGCCCTTTCCTGGAGGACAGAGCCTGAGAGGGAGGCCTCGAAGTCGTCCTTAGGCCTTCTGTCTAGTTCCAGATTCTCAGGAAAGCTTTCATGTTCTTATGCCCACCATTCCCTCAAGCTGCTCAAATAAGCCAGACTTGGCGACCCCTCATAGCCTACCTCTCCCAGGCCAGGATTCTCCCCTTCCTTCCTGTCTTAGGGTGGTGGGTTATAGGAAGTTCATCCCCAGAGCCAGACAGCTTAGAACTTCTTCCTTGAGCACCGAGTAGGGGAGGTAGTGGTGGGGGAGCTGGAAAAGGTAGCTAACTTGAAGGTTGGGGTCAAGTTGTGTGGCCCAGGACAGAGCCTGACTCAGCAAGATGAGTCACTTTGAATCTCTCAGTTCCACTTGTGTCTACTGAGGTGGGATCCAGGACTCAGCATATGATGTTCAGAGTAGAATCTGTTTAATAAGCAACAATCTGCCTTCCATCCTCCCTAACACCAAATATTCCCTACATAGTCCCGGAGGAGAAACCAGTCCAGGCAGAAAGAGAAGCTGTGGAGTTCCCAAGGCCTTGGCAGTAGATGAGACAGCCCCAGCCTTGCTTCCTGTTCCTGGAATTTGGGGCTGGGTTGTAATCTAGTAAGAGTCCAGTGAGAAAATCAGTCCATCTCTGCATCATCGCCCAGCCCTTTTCCTTGGAGCATAAAGCCTGTTCCCTGATTTTGAAGTTCAGCTCCCTAGGGAAGCTCACTCTTTTTCCAGGCTGACCTCAGTCCTGACCTAGAGTTAAGGGTGCAGGCACCAAATGCCCTTGTGGAGCACCTGGGCCATGGGTCCTTGGTGAGTGGCTGACAGGCATTCCCTGCCTCCTCTAGAAAGCTCTGTTCGTCCAGTTCGCTGAGGTGTTCCCGTTGAAGGTGTTCGGCTACCAGCCAGATCCCATGACCTATCAAGTGGCTGTGGGCTGGCTGGAACTGCTGGCGGGGTTGCTGCTGGTCCTGGGCCCACGGATACTGCAAGAGATCAGTAACTTTCTTTTGATTGTGCTCATGATGGGTAAGGGAGGGTCCACCTGGGCAGGGGAAAGGGGGACTTCTGAGGGAAGATGATGAAAAGACCTGGCTGTTCCTCTCTTCTGCTTTACTGTTGCCACCCCTCTTTTTTCTTTGGAACCAGGGGTACTTCTGCTTTACTGCAGTTTCCATCATCTTCAGACTAGGACAGCTGCCTTTCAAACTTAACATACTGGAACACTATTTTATGTCAGATATACCTTCTACCTCGTCATTTCAATTGACTGCATGGTATTCCATTATGAGGATGTATTGTAACCTAAAAACCCCTACTGTTCTCCGCCTGTCCCACCCTGAGATGAGAGGATAGCAGCTGACACTTGACCTATATGTCTGTCTATCTGGCCATTAGGAACAGGGAAACTGAGGCTCCTGAATGGAAAGGCAGAGAATTTCCCAAGCTGCCCTGGAAGGCCCTGCCCCCCATATCAGCTCTTCCTACAGGAAATGCTGATATACAAAGACAGCTGCTGCTTCAAAGGCCAGGCATCTTCAGGCTCTTCTCTATCTCCCAGCTTTGTGTCACCATTGCTGTCACCACTACCAGCCCTCCCCCAGGCTTTCTTTCCATCTCTGGAGTTTTCCTCATTTTCAGATCTTTCTTCACTTCCACCACCAACCCCTGGGCCTCCATCCTCCCAGCAGGATTAAGAAAGGAGTAGGATCAGGGAGAATTTGTCCCAAAATGCCTATCTACCCTCATTTCTGCCCTATTTGGCTGGATTGTTCCTGTTTCTTTCTTGCCATCTGAGAGGGGTTACATAAGTTCAAAAAGCTTCTGATTTCTGGTCTTTCTATCTCTGGGAGGCCTGAGAGACCAGTGCAGCTAGTTTAGTGTGTGTGTGTGTGTGTGTGTGTGTGTGTGCGTGTGCGTGTGTGTGTGTGTACGCGCGTGCGCGTGTGTTTGTGCGCGCGCACACTTTATGGGAGGGCTTGAGCTGGGTCGGGTCAGTGTAGGCTGGAGAGCCTTGAGCTCCTGGATTTTCTGGGTGTACGCAGGGAGCCTCAGAGACCTCACTCTTCATTCCAGGGGCTATCTTCTCTTTGGTGTGTCTGAAAGAGTCACTGAACACTTGCATCCCAGCTATCGTCTGCCTGGCACTCCTGCTTCTGCTGGATATCTGCCAGTTCTTAGTCCCAACTAAGAAGAAGGTGGTCAGACCTACTAGGAAGAAGACTCCAAGTACATTCAAGGAATCCTGAGAGTAGCGTATCTCTTGCCTCTCTGCCATGTCACTGTCACAGCAAGAACATTGTGGAACACACAGAATATACCACCTTGTTACCAATACAATATGTCCAGGCTAAAAATATGATGAAGTAGACATCTTGTCTACCTGGCCCTGCTCTCTCTCTTGGACATTTACTGTTATTTTTGGACATTTACTAGCATTCCTCTTGTTGTGTGAAAATAAAAAATAAGCAGAAAAGAAACTTAAATCTCCCCAAATTTTAATGCCTGCAAATAACTACTTCCAATTTCTTCGTATAACTATACCTCTCAACTTTTTTTATGCCTTTATACAGATTTTTTAATGGGAATGAGACCATATATACTACTTTATTACCTGCTTTTTAAAGCTAATATACTGTAATAGCATTCCATGTCTATTTTACCTTGTTGATGTTAATGGCTGTGTAGTATTCCATTGCAAGGATGTACTATAATATAGTTACTCAAGTCCCCACTGAGCAACATTTGGATTGTTCCCAGTTTCTTACAAACCTCACAGTAAATCACCTTTGTATGCTTATTTTC